GACAACTGCACCAGTGTCCTTCCACCCCTGGAGTGTGGGCTCAGGAAACAATGTGGAAGCTTGGTGGTGGACATTGGTCTGAGGAAACATTTTCAGTGTGCTCCAAGCTCCCAGAAAGATGCAAATTCAAAAGAAGCATCAGAGAAGGTGTGCTGCAGCCTGTGGAGCCTGGCAGCCAAGGCAGAGCAGCAGACTGGCCCCAGGGCCAGCAGCACCCTCATCCCCATCACGGCCTCCATCAATCAATGTTCTGTTCCTTCTGTAGGACAGTCATTGGCTCCCTGAGTTCTAGATTCTGGGCACTATGATGCAGATACTGGGAGGGAACAGCTGAAAGACCAATCAAGAGAGCCACCAGGCAGCCCATTAGGAAAGGCTGATAAACAGATCAGGAAAGAGAGGGGAAAGGAATTCTAGCATGAAGGAGAGGGCGGTTTAAGATCTAATGCTAGCAACAGGTATGCATCATAAATTCAGGGCCAAGTGCAAATTAAATAAGAAGTAAAACATTTTTACTGACAGCCTCAGCAGAAGGGAACTGCTGGCTGGCAAAGCAGAAAGAGGCTGTATTTTCACTTCATATTTAGATATTAGGATACATATGCTAAATTCTACTCAATTAATAAATAAATACCTTCTCTGGGAGTCTGTGTCTTCCCAAGAAAAAATGATAATAGAAATTCAAGTCCTTGGAGATCCCAGAACTCAGCTGGCAACCCCAATCCCTAACTCTAAGCAACCATATCTCTAAACCTCAACCTAACCAAGAAAACCAAGTATCTAAATAAGAACCTAGAACTCAGGTCCTGGGGGACAATGCCCATGACGACTACCTAATACCCTTTCACAAAAATGGTGACGAGAATCCACGCTTCATTCAGTTGTCATGGGGCTTGAAGAAAGAAAACTCCACAAAGCAGTGACTATCCCAGGACTAGCCCTCGGACAGGCGATGAGCTCAATTCCTTCTATCTCAAGGATCCTAGAGAATGCAATATAGAGGCAGCAAGGTATCGTACAGAGTCATCTCTAGAGGAAGGAGTGAAGACAAGAGGAAATGGAGAACAGGAGGGGAGAGAGAAGACGTCAAGGAAAGAGCAGAGATGCTCCCCAGCCAGACCACCTGAGCTCCAGTCTCAGCCTTACCCGATCCAGGCCTCTCAGATGAGGTGGAAGACAGGAGGTGGACTGAGAGAAGTCTGTGGTACCACCTTCAGCAAGTATTGATCAAGAAGAACCAGGGAGGGATACACATACAAGAACAATCTGCCCTGCTATCAATGAGGTGGCGCCATGTTTGAAATCAGCTGCCTCGTTACAGTGACCAGTCACCATAGAGTGTCCTTGAGGTGGTGTGATATCAGAGTAACTGCCAGCATTCATTGAGGGCCCGCTCAAGACTGGCACCCACTGTACCAAAAGCTGAATATGAATTTCCAAGGACTCTACGAACCAAAGAGTATCATCGTCTTGATTTTACTGCAAAAGGAGGCACAGAAAGATCAGAATCTTGTCCAGAGCCACACATTGGAATTGCAGAGCCCGCCCCTTCTGTTTTTTAGAAGTGGACAGGCTTCCCTAACTGGACGTGGGCCCAATCTTCACATTGATAACGCACGGGTTCTCTCCTGTCCCCTTCCAGCTCCAAGAGTGGAGAATTCAGAAGGTAAGAAGGAAGAGAGGTGGGCAGTTGGCAGAGCTGGACCTCCTGGCGTGTCCTTGTTCAGCGTACTTCAATTTTCTTTGCCTTATTTTCTTCATCGTTAAAGTGAGGGTATTTACTCATGCTTCATAATATGATCTAAAAACTTAATAACAAATGCTAAAGTGAACCACTCAGGGCCTGTGTATGGTAGCGCACCTGTTTTCCTTCTAGAATTTTGGCCATGAGATTCATCTGAGAATGTGGGTGATCCTTCTATTTTAGCAATCTTAGAAATATCCTTTATTTTTCGAATATTTATTTATTCATCATAGAACTGGGGATTGAAGCCAGGGCCCTGACTAAGCTAGTTAAGCACTCTGCACCTGAGCTACATCTCTAGTCCTGAAACATCCTATATTTTTAACATGAGAGTTGCATATAGTCAAATTGTACAACATGTTTTAGTGAACATAGTATAATGTGATGGTCTTTACAGTCTAGCTAATTAAGGTATCCACCTCCACATCACTACACTCTTTCTGCCCTTCCTTCTCCTTCCTTTCCTCTCTCCTTCTCTCCCTCTCTCCTTCCCTTCCTTCCTTTTATGCACATAGTCAAGTCACCTGAAATCTGCTCTCTTTGCAAATTTCCAGTATACAATATAGTATTGGCCGTCGTTTTAAAGCTATGTGGGTTTTGACTCTGTCCCCTGTGCCTACCATTGAGGGTGTGTTCTGGTGAATTAGAATCAGAACCTGCAATTTCAGCCAGAGGAAGAAATAGTGGAATAAAAGACCTGGCCAATCAGACTCATTGATGCTTGGCCCACTCTAGAAGGCAGCCCTTAGGGGATAAAGATCTGTAGAGCTGTCACATATAAGCCACAATCACTGGCCACCTTCGGGATGACTCAGACTTCCCGCTGAAAGAGCACAGTACTGATTGCTGGCCTTGGGCAGGCTCACTGCTCAATGAAAGGGTGAGTTCAAGGCCCTTAGCTCAAAATACCATTGGATGGCCGAAAGTACCAGTTGCTTCAAGCTGCTTTCTAAATCTGGACCTAGGGCCTCTCTGGTTTCACTTAGAGACCCAGCAGCGCCCAGCACACACTTAATACCCACTGTGCTGTGGCTGCCCACAGAGTGACATGTGGGCAGCCTCACCAGAGCCAAACCTACAGCAGCATCGTCTGGCAAAGGTCACAGCAGTGCCCTCTGCAGATACTCCGGTCACTCAAAAATCCCCATTTTATTTTGAAAATCTCATTCTTTAGACGTGTCTGGGCCAGAGCAATTAAACTTTGACAAATGCTGCTGGCCATGAATTGACAACCTGAACTCAGACTGTGGAGGTAAAAGCCAGAGAAAAACTCAGGGTCAAGTCTGATTCTCAAACCCCAGGGCAGCTGAGTCAAGTGCTCGACTTGGTAATTAATGAAGACTATTTCTTGGCAAGAACTCCTGCAAATCATATGATTGTGCTCCTGATGGAGAAACAGTGTGTTCTGTGAAAATCAAGGAGGCGGCAGTCAATACACTGCCTATGAAGTGCAAGCTGATAAAGACTTTCTGGAAATTCTTGGCAGCTGTGGTGTAAGGCATAAAATTAAGTTCAATGTCACGTGCTACCTTGATATTTGGCAAAATCAGGAGGCCCTCAAATAGCCCAACTGCAAGCCCTCCCCCTCCTCCCGACACACACAGCCCTGTGGATAATGTCCCCCAGGGATAAAAAGCCTTTTCACCAAAGGGACCAGGCACAGTTCCTGCTCATCTCCAACTAGCAGGATTCAGTTCCCTGGCAGTCAGCAAAACCATCCAAATAACCCAATCATCTGTGAGAACCAGGCTCACCCCATCCTCCTGCCTGCCCACCCCAGCCCCTGCTGGTTGCTTCTTGTTGAGGGCAGCCCTGTGGGGCCCTGAATGGTGTGTGGTGTCCTCCCGCTCTGGGCTCTGAGCATGTGTGACTCATAAACCACCATCAATCTCATCTGCCCAGTGTCGGGTGTCATGCATTTGGCCATCTCCATAACCCTCGGTGAGAATCTCTCATTTACCAATGAGATGAGTGGGAGGTGATTAAAACAACCACATGCTTCAAAATTTTAAATGCGTACACTGCTCAACCTGGGAATTTCATTTCTAAGAGAATATCCTATAAATAGTCTCAGTGAAGCAAAAAGAGAAATATGCAGAAACAAGAATATTCATTGCCACATTGTATATAGGAGCAAAAAGTTGGAAATAACCTAAATAACCATTCACTGAGGAAATTAAATTATAGTAAACATAATCTGTGATATACTTCCCAACAGCTGAAAAGACATAGTAAGAATTTCAAGACTTCTCCTATCTAAGCAATACATCTAATATAATCTGCCCAGTTTTTGTTAAAATATGAATCCCCAACTACATACATTCACGTGTGCGTGTGATAAAGGCTGGGAGGGAGAGGACAAGATGGATAAAAGTAGTAGCTTTTTGCATAGTGAGTGAGGAGAGGGCAAGTGGAACCTTTGGTGTCTTATGCTACACAGCTTTATTTTTTGTTGTAGCTATTTGCTTTTCATTTTTTTGCAGTTCTTTTGAGATGAGGTCTTGCTAATTGCCCAGGATGGTCTCAAACGCTTGGGTTCACAGATCCTCCTGCCTCTGTGTCACATCAAGCTAGGACCACAGGGGCATGGCACTCCACCCAGCTGTGCTCCCCAGTTTCGTACAGTTTGACTCTTTATTGATAAAATTAATTCTAGTTTTACTTATGTGCTGGTATAGAGACTTGAAAGTAAGTTGCACCTGATAAAGGTTGCAGTGATTATGAAGAAACTGAACATTGAAAACTACCTGCAGTGGGATATTACAGCCCCTCAGCCCACTGACATCTCCTGAGCCTTAGTGCTAATGTTAATCTAGAGGCTTCCTAAGAAGAAATCTCTCATTCCCATTTTCCATGTATCATGTAAATGGGTGATACACAAAGCCAACCCATTTTTATAAACCTTCTCAATTCTCTCCCGATCTTATCTTTTATGTCACTTAATCTAATGCAGCATTTTTTTAAAGCATGCAAAGGGAAGGAATGGAAGTGAGATCTGATAAATGAAAAATAACTCTCTATATATAATACAGGCTACCCTTTTCCCCCGTGTGAAAACCCAGTGCTAGTGTGCAGTCAGGCGCATGGTGCAGATCCTAAGGAAGGTCACTGGCTTTGGGGCAATGCTGCGTGCACCAGGGTCTGCTCATTCTTTGCAGAGGCCCAAACTCAGGCCTCCTCTTTAGCCCTGAGGACAGCCTCCTATGCCGAGCCCCACTGAACCCTGGCGCCCCTAGGACCCCTCGCGACGTCTCACCACGCTGATGCCATCATTGAGAAGGGCCTCCCCGAAGATGATCATGTAGAGTTGCTCGTTCACTCGCGCCTCCTCGAACACGGCCAGCACGGCCACGGGGTCCACCGCGGAGATGAGGCTGCCAAAGAGCAGGTTCTCCAGCAGGCTGATGTCGCTGAGGCCGAAGGCGCTGACCTGGCACACCAGGTAGAGCGACAGGCCGATGCCCAAGGCGTTGACCAGGGCCCCCAGGCCTGCCCACCACAGGATGGAGCCGATGTTCTCGAAGAAGGGCCGCGTGGGCATGAAGTAACCGCTCTCCAGCACGATGGGCGGGAGGAGATAGAGGAAGTAGATGCTGGAGTCCATCACGGGGGGCGACTTGTGGTCGGTGCCGAAGATGATGCTGCCCACCAGGGCCCCCACGAGGATGAGCAGGCAGCTTTCAGGCATGAGGCCCGGCAGCCGGTGGTAAAGATGGAAGCCTGTGGAAGTGCAGAGAAGCACGTTTGGAAATTGCTAATGAAGTGGTGCTCCTTGAAAGCCAAGCGGATAGGACCTGGGGCGAGCTGGCTGGCTTCTCTGAGCCTCAGTTTCCCATCTGTGGCAGGGACTGGAAGTGTTGCAAGGGCGGTGACTTTGGGTTTTTGCAGTGCTGGGAACCAAACCCAGGGCCTTGCACATGCTAGGCCAGCCCTCTACCACTGAGCTATATTCCTAGCTCAGGAAGGCTAGACTGTACACTTACAGATGCAATTTCTGCATCCGGCTCATGCAAAATCAGACACACGCACCTGGACTCTTTTCAGCTTTTCCAATCTTACTTCAATCCCCTCTTCACTAAACAAATAGGCAACAATTAAAAGTGGCTTATTTTGTCTCCTCTATTTAGCCAGTGACATTGCTTCCTGGTCAGACACTGGAGAGGGAAATCAGGTCACATTCTCATGAACCCCTCTTCATCACCTTTGACCCTTCATGCCACCAGCCCTGAATTCCTCCAGTCCCTCTAAAGTCCACCTTCTCCTCTCCATTTCTATACCACTGTCTTTATTGAAGACATCATAATTCCTCATCTTAAATATTGCATTTTTCTTCTCATCTCCTGCTGTACTTTTAATCTTGAATGTACCCCAGTGTCCTGAGTGTTAAAAGTTTTGGTCCCCAGGGAGGTGATAGTGTGAGATGATAAAACCTTTAAGAGGTAGGGCCTAGTGGGGGGGGGGGCAGGTCAGTGGGAAAATGCTCTCAAAAGGGATTGTGAGACCCCTGCCCCTTACTCCTCTCCCTTTTGTTTCCCAGTAATGAGGTGAGCAAGTCTGCACTGCTGTATACTTTCACCACCATGTGCTGCCTCGCCACAAGTCTAAAAGCAAAGGAGCCAATTCCTCATGGGCTGGAACCTCCAAAACTGTGAGGCAAAATAAACCTTTCCTCTTTATAAGTTAATTATCTTAGGTATTTTGTCATAGTCAGAGAAAGGTGACAAATACAGCTCCATTCTCAACCTCAGTCCCCCAGCAGATTCCACACTCTCCAGCCAGATGAGTTTTTTACACCATATGTATCAGATTATCTCATTCCCCACCTAAAACTCAGAAGACGCAACAATAAACCAATAATATTGCTTGAGCGTCCCTCTGTGCTAAGTACTGTGAAGTAGAAAACTAAAGATGCAATGATCGACAACACAGCTCCCACTGATGATGAAATTTTAGAAGTAAGACCCAAGTTAGAAGACAGAAGTAATGGTAAGTATTACCGGGCGTTATGGCACATGCCTGTAATACTGAAGACTTGGGAGCTGAGGCAGGAGGAGCACAAGTTCAAGGTCAGTCTTAGCAATTTAATGAGAGTCTCAGCAACTTAACAAGACACTGTCTCAAAATAAAAAGGACAGGGGATGTAAGTCAGTGGTAAAGTGCCCCTGGGTTAAATCCTGAGTACAAAGAAGAAAGAAGAAAAAGAAAAAGAAGTAATAAGATGAATAAATGTACAATTAGCTGCATTTTGAATGTACCAACAAATATAGTAAAAGATCAGAGGTCAGTGGGTCATCATGAGGACCTCTCCAAGTCTGCCTCCACACAGCTGACCCTACCTTTGTATGTTCCCCATTTCAGCCAACCAAATTCCTTTCCTCTCCGTAGGTCTCCTTTTCTGTCTTCTTATCCTATTATCACTGCTTGAATTATCCTTTTCTTGGTCTATTGGGGGTCCTGCTCAGACTTTGAGGCTAAGATTCCACCTGAAGAAATAATATATCTTTCTGTGAATTATAAAAAAAAAAAAAATGATCTGCACTCTACCTGTCTGATAGCAATGGTCCCTTTCTACTTTTTTTTTGCACAACTTCTGTGCCCTACTAACCTGTATTTTCCTCAGACTCAGGCAGAATGATTTATCTCTCTCCAAGTGCTTAGCACAGCGTCTTGTCTACACAGCTGGTCTGTCTGCTGAAAGAATCTGTAGGTATACAAATGAGTGAGTTCACATCATCATGGATGTTGTTACATGGGACAAAATTGAATGGGCTGTTGGAAAAGGACCAGGATTTATGGCATTGGATGGCAGAATGAGAGACATTTTAGGTGGAAAGGACTCCAATGCAGAAGAGAGGCAGACTGGTTCAGTCAGATATTTTCGACATTCATCGAGGACTTCCACCTGACGGGAGCAAATTTTGAATTGTGAAGAATATTAGAAAGAGAGAAGGTGATTTTGTGCCAAATAATAGAGGGGCTCCAATTCAAAATTAAGAGAGCGAGAATTCCTCCCAGGGGCCATCGGGAGCCAATAAATGTCTCCTCAGGGATATTTTGGGTTAGTCACCCAAAGAGGATATGGGTCCCTCCTCTATGCAGACAGGTTAGTACAATGGAGTATAATTCCCATCAATAGATGTGACACCGACTCCCACCTCCATTTCATTATCTTCAAGGCTAGCTTAGGGCTTCCTTTTAGAGTCATGGATTCTCTATTTCTCAATTACAACTTTATCAGCCTCTCTCTCTCTCTCTCTCTCTCCTTTCTTTATAGTTATTTTAATCAAACTCAACTTTTCTTAACACAAGAAGATGGAAAAGCCCAGAGTGTGATTCTCTAAGGTCTGTGGATTTCTAGGTTGGCCCTGCTTCCAGGAATCAAGTTTCCCAAAACGGATCCAGCATGTACCTGCCAAGCTGCACCTTCCTGTTGGAAGCTACCTACCCATAAGTAAGGCTTCCTAAAGGGACACATTATAGGCATTTCGCATTCTAAAATGCTCCCCGCCTTTCACGAGGGACGACAGTTAGTCACTTTGAAATCCATCACAAATTCTATAATCCCACCCTTACAAATGGTTCAAGGAAGACTCTTCAGTGAGGTTTCCAAAAGTTGTAGTAAAATAAAAGACAAAGTCTGAGGTGACCTTGTTTTTGTTTTTGTTGTTATCTTTGTTCTGGAATATCCTTGCTTTACAAATGCATAAATTGGTTATTTTAAAAGGAATTGGAGAGCGTTTTGTGTTTTTCTTCTGGAATGTCTACCAGTCAGTTGTAGGTTAACCTGTCCTCCTCCTTAAATCAAAAGGCCCTTGAGCAAGTACCAAGAATGCAACGCAAATAACAAGAAATGTTGGTGAGGAGGTGAGAAAAGGGGAACACTCATACATTGCTGAAGGGTCTTCAAATTGGTGCAACCACTCTGGAAAGCAGTATAGAAAGTCCTCAAAAACCTAGGAATGGAACCCTATTTGCCCCAGCTATCCCACTCCTTGGTATGTATCCAAAGGAGTTAAAATAAGCATACTACAGTGAGCTGGCCACATGGATATTTATAGCAGCTCAATTCACGATAGCTAAGCTATTTATTTATATGGAACCAACCTAGGTGCCCTTCAACAGATGAATGGATAAAGAAAATGGGGTGTTACTCAGCCATTAAGAAGAATGACTTTATGGTATTTGCCAGTAAAAGAACAGATCTGGAGACTATCAAGCTAAGTGAAGTAAGCCAATCCCCCAAAACCAAATATGGAGCGTTTTCTTTGATATATGGAAGCTAACTCACAATAAGGGGGTTGGAAGGGAAGAATGGAGGTTCAGTAGATTAGATAAAGGAGAATGGAGGGAAGGGAGGGAGAGAGGAACAGGGAAGACAGTAGAATGAATCTGACATAACTTTCCTTTGTACACACATGAAAACACCACCGTGAATCTCACCATGGTGTACATCCACAAAAACAGGATCCTAATTAGAAGAAGATATATTCCATGCTCGCATAGTTATATCAAAATGCATTACCCTGTCATAAAAAACTAAAAAGAACCCCAAAAACTTAAATGAGGGAGTAAGAACAATAATTTGGAGGCAAAGGAAGCAAAATTACTTGATAGTCTCTGGATAACATAGGTATGAAGGCTAAATGAACCCACAGGTAAGTGGATGTAATTTTCCAGTTTGAGTCAAAGATGGAAAACCACTTATTTAATATTTTTTCACATATGGAAATATAACTCATAAAATATTTTAAATATAAAAATGGAGTCTTTTCAGGGACAAATTTTAAGCATTTCCTTCAAGTTTTGATCTGCATGAATATGTGTATGAGCACGTGAAAATCAAATATATGTTATAAAGTTGAAATGATACTCTCAATAGAATGTCACATTTCACTTATGTCAATAAAAATAATACATAGGCTTTCCCCATTATTAAATGTTCTTTTTAGTATTCTTACTTTTAGTTATAGGTCAACACAATATCTTTATTTTATTTTTATGTGGTCAAAGCCAGTGCCTCATGCATGCTAGGCGAGCCCTCTACCTCTGTGCCACAACCCAACCCCTATTAAATGGACTTGGAAAAATAAAGGCCCTTGAGGTCAGGAACCATGGTCATTTCTGTGTATTGCATATATTCAGGTTTTATAATATAATCTAAAAAAGGTCATATGCATCCTTACATGTTAAAGTTTTACAAATCATCAGTATTATTACTATCATTGCCATTATTTTGCCTTTGGTAAGTGAACCATCTTATATAAAACTTCCAACCCAGTACTTGGCACATGGTATGCATTCAATAAATATGCCTTTTCTTCTCACCCCCATATCCATATGGAACACAGAAATTATCTAGATTCTTGAAGACTAGAAAACATGAAATCATACTCGAATAAGCATGTTCAAGCTGACAACCTACTTAAGCAATTTTCTCTTTCTAAACTATGTTGAATGGCGTTAACAGGAAAATAAGTGCATTTAAATCAGCAGTTCCACAGACAATAGTGTCCTCTGAGTTTTCTTAAATTTTAACCATAGTGAGTCTGAGCCACACCTTGAAAGGACAAGCTATGCTTTAGGTTAATATGAAACTAAGACGAAACGCACCCTTTCTGCATTAATTGATCTTCTGATGGACAAAGTGACCAACTAGTCAGGGACAGAACTAGTCTCCTGATTCCCAGACCAATGGTAACCATTACTGATAAAGGGAGGCTAAAGTGGGGGACGGACAGTGAAGGCCAAGAATCTTCAACCTGTTTACAGAGGGAACACTCAATTGTCACTCAAGACCATCTGAACATTTTCATTGTCAACATGGTTTTCATAAAGGTGTTAGACTCTTTGCTCTGAACTGAGGACGATATCCATTTGGAAAGCCATTTTTACTGGAACAGGTCTCTAAAATAACATGAGACCCTTTGTGCCACTTAATCACTTAATGAATCGCAAGGGAGCTCTTTAAACTAACAATTCCCATCCAATCTTTATACTCTATTAGTTCAAAATGAGTAAAAGTTATAAAGAAGCTCCTAATGAGCACACCTGTGCCCCAAGCCATAAGGAGGGAGTTAGATAAAAACCCACCAAAATTCAATGCAGACCATGTGTGGCTCAAACCCACATTTCAAATCCATCTTAGAGACAATGTATATACATATAAATGGGCATCAAAATGTTCTAGAGATTCTATCTCAATCAGGCAATCTACCTACTCAAATAGTACAAAGTTTAGAGGTGAGACAAAGGAGATATTATGCTTAGGAATTGAGATGATCATATTGATTTTCCACTTTGGAATAAGCTAATGTTCTAAGGAACAGGGGAGTGCAATTAAGGATTAAATAGTCGAAGAGTGTAAGGTACCCCTTGCTTTTTTTTTTTTTGGTATACACACACACACACACACACACACATACACACACAAATACCATGGTAGGAATTTAATCCTGTCATTTTTTAAAAAATCACTTTATTTCACAAAGGAGGCCATTGGCTCCATTTGACTTAGATGTAAACCAATATTTTACCAACAGATATCATCTAATTTGGCCCCATATCCTATCTCTGAGGGACACAAGAGTTGCCTGTGATTGTCTTGCGCCTTGCTTCTGTCAAGTTTCAAGGAACATGCACCACTTGTAAAGAATAAACAATGGAAGCCATTAATGAATTCCACATTTTGTGGTTGAGAATGAAGGAAGACTATTTCACAGAAGAAACATTATGTGGTTCCCGAAATTTCCAACCTGCTTCACTCCAAGGTCTTAATTTTGTAAAGCATATTGAGACTTTTACATGACAATGTCCCAACAGTGTCACCTGAAATGAGAAGAAACCAAAGGAACCCAGGACCTCACCGTCGTCTCTTAAATTTCAAAGCAGAATCCTGAAGCATTGAGCAGCTTTGTTAAAAATAAATAAAGAAGTTGTGACTTACCCTTGACCTATGGGAAGAGAATTTTTATTTAATCACAGTTAACATTTGAAATCCACTTAGTCCACCATCTATAAGGCATATTCACATATGTGATCTCATGTGAGAAACAACTTCTAAAACCACGTGTTTGAGGACTTACCTATTTTTGCAAGAGATGCTAGGAGTATCCAGAGGGTGACCTCATAAGGAATTTGCACATAATCATAATCCAGTTCGAAAACAGATATCCTTTCATCTGGCACCGAGCTGGAAGCAGCAAACCAAGCCTTAGGTGCATGCTGAGCAGGGGAACTTGCAGATTCATTCAAATCAGAAGATGCCTCAGAGCCTACAAGGGCCACGAGCAATAACAACCAGATGCAAGGACTAAAAGGCACGAATATCTTGAGACCCATTCTGTGGGCTTCTGCTACACACCCTGGGTGCAGATGTGTGCCACACATCTGCCGCGGAGAGGACTTCTAGAGAACAGCTGCATTCACCTGGCTCAAGGTGACAGACACACAGTCCGTAGGTCCATCCAAGAGAGTCCAAGTATGTTGTTGAGGCTGTGTGTAGAAGATTTCTACTGTTTTGTTTTTTTTTTGTTGTTGTTGTTTTTTAATGCTTATGTTGGAGCAATTCAGCTTCGGACTCAGACACAGTCATTCAAAGAACTTGTTAAAGAAAGCACAAGGAGCTACCTGTAGAGCCTTCATGCGATCATGACCTGAAGAGCAATTTATAAAGGGGGAAAAGAAATCTCCTCTTCAAAGCCGTTGGTTCCTCATTTCACTGCAGGCAGGTTTCATCTTGAGGGTGAAAACCGAAAAGGACACCACAGTGCTCATTCCATGTGCCATCAAAGTCCTTTTAATGAGGAAGGGAATCCTTGCCGCTCTGTGGCATCCCAGGAAGGAGCTACCTGTCCTGCCCCTGTCCCTGCTTTCCTCCCCTTGCTACTCTGTCACGTGTTCTGAATGGTCAAGGCAGGTAGTTCTTGAAACACACTTAATTATTTGCTCTGATTTGGCTTTTGTAATGAAATGTTTGCGCTGAGTGTTCGCCACAGGTTACACTGCTGCCACCTAGTGGGCGCCCACGATGAGACACCCTTGGCAAGTTGAGGGATGAATAAGGTGTAAACTAGAAACGTCCTGGAAAACTGTGTCTTACAGTCTCTATAAAAGAGGAAGGAAGAGGGGGAGTGGTGGCAATGGCTAGGATGACCTTGGCATAGTGTACTACCAGACTTCGTGATGAATACTTCATAGGAGTGAAGCTTCACCTCTCCTGAAATTTACCAAGAGTTTTTCAGAGAAAAACAAACCAAATAACAACTCCCATAGGTGCCTACAAATTTTCTTCCATCTTAAGGAATTCTGTTATTGGGGTCCATTTGTTGAAAAGTTGTGCCACAGAATGTTTATGAAAGAATTGATTCTGAGGTGAATCTTAAGAATTTCTTTGTAGTTCTCTAACCTTTGGCCAAGTGAACTTGGCCAAGTGACTTCATTTGAAGAGAGAGGATAAGGCTGTTCATCTCACTGAGCAGCTACAAGCACTAAATGAGATGGTGTGGAGTTGGCACTTAATAAATGTCGGTTTTCACTATTTGAAATCACATCTCTCGTTCTCATAGAAGATCAAATTGACAGGGTTGCAATAAAGAACAACAGTGAACAGGAAATGATAATTATTATTCATCATTAATATCACTGCTTCTGCATCAAGCTGCACAGGGATTTCTGTTTTTTTCTAGTTTGCATCCTTCGAGCTGATGAGCCCACTACTGCCTGTATTCAGCAAAGATCCTTAGAAAACTGAGGAAGGATTGGTTGTGATCCCAACACCTAGTCACAACTTCAAAATAAGATAGGAGAATAAGGAGCTCACAAGTGGATGTTTTCTCTTTTCCTTGCTGTTAGACTCCATGTTACTAAAATAAATCATCAGGTGTATTACAAGAAGGATACCATAATGAGTCCACTGTTCTTACTCAGAAGATATACACAAATGGCTTCGTAATAGAAAGCTTATTTACAATAGGTTTTTTTTTTTTAATTTTGGTATTGGGATTGAACCCACAGAGGCTTAACCACTGAACCACATCCCCACCCATTTTTTAATTTTATTTTTCAGTTTGAGATAGAGCCTCGCTAAGTTGCTGAGGCTGGCATTGAACTTGTGATCCTCCTGCCTCAGCCTCCCCAGTTTCTGGCTTTTACAGGCATGCGCCACTCTGCCACCTTCAGTGTCTTATTTTTATTCACATTTTTATTGTTTTTCTCTTCTATAAAGAAACGAGGGGGATGGGGAATGTCTCTGTGGAAAGACCCAAACCAATTAGAAGACCTCCATTCTCAGGCGGAGAATTACCTGATTCACTTCAGGAAAGTTGCTTCAATTATTTGAGCCTCAGTTTTCTCATCTAGAAAAATGAAGATGCTCTCCACATCAGGGATCCCTTTCCTGCTCGAAGATCGCAAGTCTTTGTGAATATACGATGAAGTGTTTTTACCTTACAATTACCTGACAGTTGATAGCACAATCACCGTTAGACAAGGGAAGCCATCTAAGGAGGGTAGCAGAATAACCTGATTTCCACACCAGCCTACCCTCTGGTACCCCAGGTGAGGAATGAGCTGCCCACCTTACTGATCCTTGGCATCACACAGATGTCTGAACATGCTTTCTGAAAGGCTTTCACAATTTAGTACACAGAAGGTGAGACCAAGCCTCCAGGAGCAGGAAACCCAATGCAGAACCAGTTGGGGAGGAAAAGAAGCAAAGGAGAAGCACTTCTAGAATGAAAACCACAGGAGCTCTCAGACTCTCCCCCTAAGAAAACCCCCGTCACTGGTGAGAATTGTTAAATACAGAAGAGACTATTCAGTCTCTGCAAATTGTCCTCAGGACACACAACAGTATCTGTAAGATCTGTGTCTTGGCACAGGTGTGTGGCTTGGCACTTTCTCTCCCCGCACCTCAGTTCAGTGTGAGGTAAGCTTTTCTCTGGGTGGGCACAACCAAGAGTTGAGGATCCCTCTAATCCCCAGGATAATCCCCAGGATAGAGGTACAGTTTCTACCCAGAAGAGTCAGGCTGTCAGTACATGTTACCAGAACTGGCCCTGTCCCACCCCAGCAATGTGTCACTCAAGATCTCTTGCAGGCAGGTGTGACTGAGAGATCCCTTCTTCCTTCGAGCCCTACTCATAGAATTGAGCTTTAACCCCAGAGGCAGAGGGCCAGGAATATGGGGCCCCAACTACTCTCATCCAGCTTGCTCAGGGAACTGATTTTTCCTACCAGGAAGAACCAGCCAAGAAGACTAGGTAACTAGGGGCCACTAGCCCTGCCCAGCACCTCACTCATAATGCAGAGCATCACTCTAAGAACGGCAGGTGGCTGACACTGTTCTCAACTCCAGGGTGGTGAAACAGGGTCTGCAAAAGAGGGAAGGCAAATCCTAGGACAGAGAGCCCTTCAGCTGTCTCTAAGGAGACCAGTTTTATTTGGGACTTAGTGTCGGGAAGTTCAAGCCTAAGGTCACTGTCCAAAACCATGGAGATTTGAGTTGTGAGCCAGCAGGAAGATCTGGGAGCTCCATGATAGCTGGAGAAAGGGTAAACCATTAAGAACTTTAAGAAGAACCCTCCTGAGGTCAGAGCAAGCCTCAAAGACGGGCCTCCAAACTTAGCCTGGGAAAGGAATGGAACTGACTTCAATTGATCAGATCACGGAGGCATTTATAGCCCAAGGCATTGGTGAGAATGATAGGCTGAGCTGAGTATAAATTATAGACCATTTGGCAGCTGAATGGGTGATCAGTGGGAAAAAAAATCAAATAAAAGGCTAAAACCTGTCACCCTGGAGGAGAGAAGAGAAGGAAAGATATTATGAAAGATCCAGTTTGCTTTGGTGATATCAAGGCTGCCTGGGGCATGATTTTACTGAAATCAGGCAGCCAAGTCACTAAACAGTCAAACGAGCAAATACCAAGCTCTGGAGTTGGAGAAGAGGGAAGGAGTTCAGTATCAAGAATTGCTCAAAGTCCAAAGCTCATCCAAAATATCCGGTTTTTAAAAACAACGAAAATGAGATTACACACTGCCCACAGATGATGCCCTTTTAGATTCAAACAAACAAGTAGATTAAGAATAAAAGAACAGAAAATATACCATGGAAACATTGTGGAAAGACCTGGAATAACTTACAAATAACTAACAAAATAGTCTGAAATAGCAAATGTTTCTGGCGGAAGATTTAGGAAATGAAAAGGGTCTATCTGTGACAGATGTGAATGGTGAGAACATACGGTTAAGAGAATAATTCCATAACATGGGCCCACTCTACTGACTCCTACGTGCTCTCTTTGTCAAAAAACAATTTACTTGCAGCCCTGCCTGGCCTAAGTAGACAGGATATGCCACATTCCTCAGCAAACTACCTGTTATCTGCAAAAAGCAAGGCAGGCAGAAAATTATGCTGATAAGAGGAACCCAAGTTAATTTTGTGACCCTTTTCACAGACCAGATTCCAGAAGATAAAGATAACTCCTCCTAAAGATAAAATCTGTAAGAATGTGTGGTTAAGAATCCAATTAGAATGGGTCAGCATGGGCGCAGGTGGCACAGTTGTCATGGCAGTGTGACTTGAAAGTTTGATGTCAACCTACAGTCAGTCAAAAGGTGGACCTGGGCGGGATTTTCTGGAAACTTCTCTGGGATTCCCAATAAAACTGAAGGGCAGGTGAGAAACTGATGTGACTCCATTTTTAAAAATAAATAAATAACAACAGCTTCTACCTCAAGGCCTGTCCTAAGGAAGGGGGCGTGACCCTTGTCCTTGGAAAAACCCAGAGAGCACTCCTAAGCACACACCCACCCTGCTGAGTTGTTTGTAAATAACCTGAGAGGTCTGTGGCGCCAGGTGTCCCTGACTCAGTTAGGCTAGGTGGGGACCCATAGCAACCCCTCTAGCAACCTCCAATCAGCATGAGACAGGCAAAATACCTGGAATGCCAGATGACCCCCAAGTAGTTTATGGTAGTTGATGACAAGTTGGGAAACCATGTAGTTTAGCACGTACACCCCTCGTGGCTTAAATCAATTAGTTCAAAGGAATCCCCCTCTTGTACTAACCAATCACCCCTACCCAACTTGTTCCCACCAGTGAATGTGCTAATCAATGTTAAGAGTTGTTGTTTGATTTTCCCACGATATGGAATGATTTGCTGTGTGATGTTGTGACGCATAGAGTATCCCCCCAAAACCTATAAAATCTCACTGAACAAAGGACCAGGACTCACTCCCTGAGACCACTGAATCGGGAAGGGTTGTGAATCCAGGCTGGAGCTTGCAATAAAGACTCTTGTGTGATTGCATCGGATTCAGCTCCTGGAGGTCTATTGGGGTCCCATGAATCTGGCATAACACAGGAAAGCTACACTGTCCCTCTCCTCTCTGAGAGGACCCATCCCCTTCTTTGAGAGTGTCCCCTTTTCCTTATCCTGTCCCTTCAGTAAAACTCAGGCCTGTTCCTCTGAGTGACGTGTCTGAAGTCTTCCTGACTTGATCACAAGAATTGGAGTT